ATAACTCTAAAGAAATAAAGCCAGTAGGACACAAAAACATGTAGCCTATGACTGAAAAAATAATAGAAAAATCAAAGCTGTAACTTGCAGATGAATAAAGTGTAAACTATTAGGCCCTTTCGCACCGCTTTAGTTCCAGAACTAAATGTACGGTACTAAACTACTGGGACGATTTTGCGCGAACTATTTCCCAGTACCATTCAAAGGGTTGCATTCGCACTGACAGTGTGTACTAGGAAGTGACGTAAGCCGGTTGACAGCGAAGTCATTTGTGCGCGGCGTTCAACAACGAAAACAAAGAAAAACAACATTAACAACCGGAGGATGGAGGACTATGATCGGAGCTGTGTTTTTGTTGTCTCGCGGGTTTCACAATAATGGACATTGAATGTTGACGTATACATAAAGCTTCGCTCCCAGTTCCGGCGGTGCGAACACGCCGAAAAGTGGGTAGTTCCACAATTAGTTTCTGGTACTATGAAAAGGTTCCTGCTAAGTCTTGCTACTAGGCTTAGTAACAACGTTTTTTCTATGTTGCAGACCATTTTTTCTTAAAGTAATCTTCACCCCCCAGAAATGTAAAATTGCTGTTAATTTACTCAACCTCAGGCCATGTGGGTGACTTTTTTCTTCAGTAGAACAGTAAAGAAGAAAAACCATGGTCCTTGTTGATTCATAAAATGCAAGCCAATTGCTGCCATCACTTTTGAGAGTCGAAAGAAAGAAAAACATATCAGGCATTGCAAAATTAATACCAATTGCTCCTGACAATATACTTTTGAAACGTATAGGCCTAGGTCTTATGAAGCAAAACAATCGGTCTGTGCAAGAAAATTAGCATTATTTACAACATTATTACCTACATCTTGGATGGCCAGTGTTCACTACCTGTCTAGCGATGTGTGTTTATACTAAAACGTTTTTTTTTTTCCCAAATCTTCTATCGTGTCATTATATTTAGTGAGTTGGCTCGTGCATTTTATGTTTTGTGCTTTGGAAATATGATGTAATTGACAGTAAGGAAGCATAGTGAGCATCGATGCTCTCTGGTTTTTGCGGTGCACTGTGAAATTTTTCAGGGAGCGAAACTTCCAGTAAACTGGAAGGATTTAGTGATTGAGACAGCCCTTTAAATGGCTGATTCCCTGATCAGTGCCCTGACTACTGAACTAGGGAGCTGATTGAGACATCCTAAATTTGGGGTGAACTATCATTTTAGTGGAAGCTTTATGCAAATTTATTAAAGGGGTCATAGGATGCCCATTTTCCACAAGTTGATATGATTCTTTAGGGTCTTAATGAAAAGTCTATAACAGTAGTGTAAAACAACACCCTTTTTACCTTGTCAAAATCAGCTGTTTTCAGCAAGAGGTTTTAGTGCATGTTCCTTTAAATGATAATGAGCTCTGCTCACCCCGCCCCTCTCTTCAGTGGGGTGACGAGTGGTTCTCATGATACTGTTTACTTTAGCCGCGGAACTTGCTAACTAGCACGTTATTAGGAAAGGTGATTTGCAAAGATTAATAAAAGAACCTTGTACTCACTTCTTCTGTAGGTGAGGCTGGATCACAAATGATTTGCGTGAACATAAACGCATTTAGGTAGATCGGGGGCGCATTCCCATAAAAAAAAAAGGTAATCCACTGCGTCTTCAGCGGCTCAGATGTCGGGAGTAAATGACGACTGCTGTGTTCATTATTACATCCAACAACAGAACACCTCAATCACTTAGGAGACATTCTTGTCTACTCCTGCTCTGGCGTCGAAACAGTGGCGGACTGATGACAGCTCACTCAGGGCGGGTCTAAGGTAAAACACTAGTGTCAATCAACAATCGTGGGAGGGGCCTGGGTCTGTGTGACGTCACACAGACAGGCATCTGAGAATGGCTTGATATGAGAAAGGGGAAAAGATTTAACGAGATTAAAATAAAAACACTGAGTGGATCTTTATCATTATAGGGTGGTTGTGTACACACACTGCCAACACACATTTCAGTTCAAACAGCTTGTAAAAAGTGCATGTCACATCCGATGACCCCTTTAAGCGGCTCTCTGGAATACTTGATTCTGTGGTCAAAAGGCAGCATTCCGCGATCAGACACTCCTAATAATCACTGTTGCTTATGGCAACACTGACCGCTCACCAGCGGCCCATTCACACCAAGAACAATAACTAGAAAGATAGTCACCAATAGATGACCAATAGATCACCTGTCCCAAAGCTCTTTAAAGCTGGGTGGATTCAGGTTGGCTGTATGTATGTTTTTATCATTCATGAGCTGAAAAGAAAAATTGTTCTGAAATGGATTCTAATGATATTGTTCCTTTTTGTTGTTATCATTATAGTTGTGCTGTGAACATCCCTATATATTTTCCTAAAATTAAAGTGATGTTTATCAACAAATTTCGGGAGGAGCACGCACAGATAATTAACACGGCCAGTTCATCATTAGTGATTACACCATTTATCCAATCAGCGCAAGAGAAAACTCCCATAAATAACCAAGTACGCCCTACCTT